GTATTAGGTAGAGCTGCTGTGTCTCCTGGAATTTGTAGAGTGGCTTTGTGTAGTAGGTGTCCTGTAGGGCCCAGTGGCTCAGCCTCCCCAGTCACCTGAGCTGGGCCTTCTAGGTGCTCCCCTGTGTGGGCTGTGTGCACTGTCCTGCTGTAGTTGAGCCTTGGCTGCTGTTGGTGTCACTGGGAGGAATTGACCTCCCGGCCAATCAGCTGCAACTACAGCCAAAGAGCTGCTGTGCTGGAGACACCCCTATGGAGCAGGATTTACTTCAGTGGAGCTTCGGTTCACCAAGTGCACCCCTTGAATGTATCACTTGTGGATGTGGTAGGGTTGTAATCCAGCATGGTCGAGTCTGACCACCAGGTGCACTGTCTCTGGGGCCTCCTGGGAGGTGCAAAGTCAGCCTCTGCCAGTGCCTTGCTCAGGGCCACCCAGCATGAGCTACATAGCAAACCGTAGTTGGCTGCTACTTGTGCTGGGCTTGGAGGTGTCCAGGAGAGGCCAAGGTATGAACCAATGAAGGCTGCCACTAGTGCCAGGCCTGAGGCCACTTATCAAGCCATATGGGGCATGCTGCTGCTTGTTTGAGAGATTTTAGGAAAATCCTAAGCATGAGGCTGGAGAGGCCACTTGCATAGAAAAGCCCCTGGAAATGGCCTGGATGAGCTGCAGGTGGGGAGTGGCGGGGCCACTGGGAATCATGGGGCGGGGCCAGAGGTGTGAGTCAGGTGCTGGCGATTCAAATATGGCATCTGCCTGCCAGCTGTGTGTGGGGAGGACTCGCCAAAGGAGCAATGTCCTCTGCCAGCCCTTTGGCTTGGGAGGAAGGTGCCCCTCAACCTCTTGCCCCGATTCTAAGCAGGTTAGTTCCTCCCCAAGTGTCCCAGGTCCTTTCAAGCTGCTGCCTGGCGCTGGGCTCAGAGGGAGTGTGTCTGAGAGAGTCTGGGCCCTTTGAGAGGAGAGCCTGGGGCTCCCGCAGCCTCCGTGAACCTCAGCCACAGTCCCCGCTGGTTTCACAGCCCGGAGTTCTGGGGACTTCTCTTCGTGGCCCTGGAGCCCTGGGCTGGGGGCCTGATGTGGGGCTGGGATCCCTTCCTCCTCCCTCCTCTGGGAAACCTCCCCCTCGGAGATGTCCTCCTGGGTTTAACCCGCGGCACCGGTGTGTGCCTGCGGCCGATTCTCCAGAATTGAGCCCTAATCCACCTGCATCTCTGCCCCTCCTACCAGTCTCGATGCTCCTTCAGTTCCCTGGTTGTGGGGCTTCTGTTCAGTCAGATTTCAGGAGGTTCTGAGTGATGGTGGTTCTGTATTTTAGCTGTAATTCTGATGTGGTTGCCGGAGGCGGCAGGTGCAGCTGTTACCTACGCTGCCAGCTTGTTTCTCCTCTGTCTCACTCTTTTGTCTCCATAGATCTTTAAGGCAAATATTCCCTCTCCGAGAGGCCTTCTGAAGCCACTCTTTCATCACCAGCCTTTACCCCATACACTTAGCTACCTTTGAATTTTTTTCCCCTCTATAATACTTACTATCTAGCATGCTTTATAGTTTGTATATTTGGTTTTTGAAATTCTTTTTTCCTTCCACTAGAAAGTAAGCTCCATAAAAGCAAGAATTTTTGTTTATCTTGTCCATTGTTGTGAACACTTGTAAACAGTGCTTGGCACACAGTAGGTATGCATGTGTACTTGTTGAGTAAATGGACACATCTTCATTCCTTCTTTTGAAGTTTCTCTGTCTAGGATATTAAGGACCAATACCTCTTTGTAAGGAGTCCGACATACACTGTGGCCCAAGGACTCCCCAGGAACTGTTCCTCCCTCACCTAACAAATTCCTTTAAGGTTCCTTTGTTTTTATAGATTGCAATTATTTGTTTATTTAACAAGTCATTCATTCTAGTATTTTACTCAGTTCTATGCCAATTTAGTGAGTAAAGCCTTAAAAATTACGGAATTCAGACCATATTTCTTAGATTCCTTTATGTACCAGTTTCTGGGCTGAAGACTGGGAACACAAACATGAGTAAGACATACTGGCCCTCTGGCTCAGCATGTGGTAGAGGAGCCTGACTGGTAGACAGCAGTTATGGTGCAGGGAGTTAGGCCTTGGCCTGGGACAGAGCTTCCCTCCACATTGCCCTCAAACCACGGATTGTACCCTGCACATTCACTATTCTTTCTCTTTCTTATAAATTATGAGATTGTTAGCCACTTTTCTATTCCACAATCTTGAGGGTAGGAATTATGTTTGTTATTTCTGTTTTCTTAGCACTTAGCACATTTTCTAGCTCCATAAATATTGACCTGATAGAGGTATGTGCTCCATCAGAGCACACATGGTGAGAATGATGTCAGGGAGAGTTGGGGGTTGTCAGGAAACACTTCACAGAGGAGATAAC